AGCGTACGCGCAGTGATGTTCATATCGTCTGAGCGATGTTCTTCTTTCACTCAAGACAAATACCAAACACGGCAAGGCATATTGCTAGCTGTTCTGTTGGGCTCTACAGGGAGGGGCTGCATGCTCCAGCTACTGAAGTTCTCGGCACTGTGGGTTCTACGTCATGGCAGACAGGCACAGTTGGCACACACATGCACATCAGTACTGGATGCTGTGAGGTGCAGTGGTAGCAGTGACGTCAAACCACACTGGTGATGTAATGATGTCCACTGGTCTGTCTTTGCTCAAAGGCACCAACACAATACCGTCCTGAGGTAGCCTGATGGGCCAATGACTCCACCAGACTAGTCAGTGAGCTCAGCTGACTAGCTGGTGAGCCAGATGGTCCTCTGAGACAGCCAGGCAGCCAGTGGTAAGTGAGCTCACGTTCCAGCGTGGTACAAAACAAGCTCAGGCAGGAGGACGAGCTCTGCCGACCCCACCCAACTACTGCATGAACCTCTGAGCTCTGACACACAGCGGCGAGCCTCGGCTCACCTGACCATCTGCGGCGGCACGCGCTCGTAGGTGGTGACCCGGCGCACGGCCGACCGCCGTGGCGCGTCCTCATCCTCCGAGCTGGAGTCGACGGTGCGCGCCGGGCTGACTCCGCGGTCCGACTCCAGACTCGGTCCGCGGCCCGACTCCACGCTGGCGCCCCGCTCCGAGCCCAGACTGGAGCTGCGCTGTGACCCGAGGCTGGTGGTGCGGTCCGGGGGTCCGGTGCGGCGCTCCACGGCAGGACTGGCGCGGCCAGAGAGCGGGGGCGCCGACCGTGCGTCCGAGCCGGGGCTGGAGGGGTCACCTGGGGGGGGGGAGAGGGGAGAGAGAGAGAGAGAGAGAGAGAGAGAGAGAGAGAGAGAGAGAGAGAGAGAGAGAGAGAGAGAGAGAGAGAGAGAGAGAGAGAGAGAGAGAGATCAGACCACGCGGCATTGATCACACCGTGCTGCCAGGTGAATGCGCTGAAGAGCATACCGAGAAACATGAGCTGGGAGCCGTAACAGTATTACCCACGTGGGAACGACCGCGGCACGTGTCGTTGGAACAGCCATGCGAGACATTACCCAACAGTCGGTCATTACGAGCCCAATAGAGCGCTCAATGACACTCGGCACGGCCGGGCGGGGACCTGCGGCCGGCCCGTGTACCGGCCACACACTAATCACTCCGATACTAACGGAGCCGGCAATCCACCGCAACTGGACGGCTATCAACACCGCGGAGTATGAGCAAACGTCCGAACGTCAGTCGGAACGAGGGCTGATGTTACAGTGCATCAGTCGGAACGAAACGAAAACAAACGTTATATCACGTCAGTTGGAACAGAAACAGACATCAGGACATCATCCGGAACGACAACAAGGGTGAGCACGTCAGTCGTTTCTATCTCTACTTTTTATACCTCCCTTATTTGCTTCATCCCGTTCTAATTCTCTCCAATCCTTTCATAAAATAATGCCATCTTTTCACTCTAACATCTCCAAAATCTATCTCCTACACTCAGAAAACACTTTGAGAACATTTTTGAATAAGGGCTCATATGAGTGCCAAAACAGGGCTCAAATCTGTATGATTTTAAAATCGGGATCAGTTAGGCGCCCTTTTCGGGCTCAAAGTACATTAGCCCCGAAAGCGGCATCAGTTCGTCTTCCTTTTCGGGCTCAATTCGAGCTGCGTTTTAGGGCTCCATACGACATTCCGCCATTCCGTCTTTTGCTGTTTTCAGTGCCATGTGTTGGTGTACCTACCGCCGTGATTTCAAAATGAATGGTAAGTTATTAGTTATCAGTTATCGCTATCTTTTAGAAAAAATCAAGATGTTGATGCTCATGCCATTTTAATCCCTTATCAATTAAAATTGTGGTGGCATTTGTTCAGAAAAGGTCTGATCTACAATTGTGGCGCCGTTGATACGAATACGCACGGGTTTGATTATTCGTTTTTCTTGTATTTGCGCCACATGAAAGCATCATATCTGGATTCAGGATGTCAAATAGTGTAAGAATGTGCAAAAATTTTGTCTGGTTCTTCGTGATGATGTGATTGAAGCAATGCTTTCAAGGGTAGGTAAGGATTTTGTTACTTGTTCGTAATGGTTATCTTGATGCTCAACTAAAATTAATCCTAACCTTGCCTACTAACCTATTAAGTTAAACTTAGTACCAATACCTACCAACCTACAACCTATTTGGATCTTTCATATACTTATAACATGCTGCTGCTTCTGCTAACATGCTGCGGAATGCTGGTTGATATGATGGAATGCTGGTATGACAGTGTTCCATGTTTCAGAATTTTAGGTGAATAACCACACATGATGGGGAAAATGTTTTCATCCTAAAAATATGACAAGTGGCTTTATTTCATCTTTGCTAAAAAAATATGTCAAAAGTTTGATTCAACAGCCAGCTGCCAGGTTACGCATGACTTGACAGTTGATGCATCTACTCTACATCATTTCATTTCAGATCCTGTGAAGGTTCTGACAAAATCTGAGGTAAAAATGGCATTATGCAGTTTTGCGGAAAGACTAAATCTATCTCATTTTGTCTTCAGATTTTTTTTTATTGGGACACCCAATTGAAATCCAATTTTAGAACACTGTGACACCATGCCTGTGTGCCAAGTAAGAGGAAGGGTCTACAAGTATACATCAAGATAACCAATTATGGACAAGTTGAGACTTGAGTCATGAGCTCTTATTTGTGGTTACAATACCTTCAACTGCATGATTTTGCACAACTTCCATACAGGCATCCAGACTGGAAAAGGTTCAAGTCCATACTTATTCTGGTGCTTGAATATGGCAGTTCAAAGATGGAAGGCATATGATGCTACAAAATGAAAAAAATAATTCAACTTACAAAAAATAGGTATTCATATCTATCCTAAACTAAACTAACCTAAACTTACCTAACCTAATCCAACCCAACCCAACCACCCCAACCAGCCCAGCCCAGCCCAACCCAGCCCAGCCCAGCCCAGCCCAGCCCAGCCCAACCCAACCCAAAACCTACAGTCTAAAACCTAGAGCTAAAACCTGCAGCCCAAACTGGAAAACATCCATATGGTACGCCGGACGCCCGTGAAGCCGTCATGCGCCGAAGTTCGGCGCAAGCTATTTTGCAATTTGCGCTGAAATTTCTGCATTATTTGCGCCGAAGGTTAGTGCCCTTTTGCGTCAAAATTAAGCCACTTATACAAAAAGCACGTTTACATCTGCTGGCCAAGGTTTTATAAACCAGACAGAACGCTCTGGGCCTTAACCACTCCTGACTCCCATGTTTGAGCGTCCAAATTAGTTGATGTTTCCATGGAAGCTGAATACCACAATACGTGTAGCGCACTGTAGCATCGTGCCGTGAAATAAGGCTCGGGACGGAAGTTCCGGGGTCACAAAAATTGGTGTGGCGGTGTTGTCGCGGCTGGCGGGCTCCAGCAAGGGGTTTAAGTTTACGACACCACTCTTGTTTCAGGAGAGGTGTCAGCGATTCGAGACTACTTGGGCATGCGGGCAGCGGGGTCGGCGTGGCTGCCTGCGGCTGCGGCCACACATCTTGGCGTCCTGGAGGCGGAGATGCTGATGGTGGCATGAGTCATCACTGGCTGCCCGATTTCCATGCTCCAAGACTCGCCGTGAGGGCCGAGGCGGGCGTCGTGCCGATGGAGAGATGAGGAGGGATGCGCTGGCATCGCGCCTACTGGCGAATGCGCTCTCCCTCCCGTCGGAGGACCCGCCGCGTCGTGGCGGAAGCCCCCCCCCAACCGTGACTGAAGTCAGTGACCGGCTGGAGAGAGCGCGGGGGAGCGGTGTGGGACCACTGGAGTGGCGCTGCCCGCCGAGGCGCGCTTATCCACGAGACTGCCCCCGTAGACGCCAACAGACGGCGTCACGTTCCACCTGGACCTGCTGCCGATCGGGGCGTCCGCGACAGCGAGGAGGAGTGCTGCGGAGGCGTGACTGGGAGCGCTCCCCCAGCGTGCGACGTGGGCCTGGGTCGACGGGTCTGCGACCGGGGGAGTAATAGGAAGGCGGCGCTGGGGTCCTCACCGAGCACCCAGACAGTACAACATTGGTACTGCGGGAGGCGGCGGGGAGGATTTGCTCCATTTACCGATCTGAGATGGTGGCGCCCAAAACGGCAAAGCAACATCTCCTGAAGCACCCGTCCTTCGAGGAAGACCCCATAATCATTTGCTCCGACTCGCAGGCGTCGCTGGCGACGCCACGAGGTGGACAAGTGGCCCAGACACCCCCCCCCCTCATCCCCTAGGTGCCGCCATCTGGGAGTATATGATGGCCCTAGTGGCTGTAGGGGGCCGAAGAATCCACCATAGAAGGAGGGCGGCGATAGCCCGATTAAGCTGGGCGTCCAGTGGAGCCTCGGCTCTATCATGGGCATTGGGCAAGGACTCTGCGAGCACCCCCGTCTCCTCCATCTTCGACGGCACTCCAGTCAGAAAGCTGTCCCCACCCGAGTTTCCCAGCAGCATGGGCCACATGAAACCGAACAGCGCCGAGCCGCTCGACGCTGAGGACCAGGCGAGAGTAACAGTGAAAAGGTGAAACGCTCGAAACGGCGCGCGCCGCCGGCCGAGGGCGCCGAGCCGGCCCAGGCCGGCTGCGGGTCAAACAGAAGCCGTCTCCGCGGCGGCCGCCCAGTGACAGCGACTCGGACTGACGTCGAGGCACCGCTGCCGCCTCCGCCGACCAACCCGCCGCCCAGCAAGGGCAGTTTGAAGGCGGCTGCGCCGGTGAAGGTGGCGCGGCCTGGCAGGGGCCGCGGCCGGCCCACTCCCAGCTACCCGTCCCGCGAGGTGCTCAGTACCACCGACTCGTCCGATTCTGAGGCAGCGCCGTCGGCGGGCCGCCGCCAGCAGTGACGACGACCGGCTGGCGGCGTTCGCGCGGGACTTGTCCGACTCCTGGTACTCGGACTTGCCGCCCAAACTGGACGCCGGCGGTGTGAGCACCAGCAACGCCAATAAAAAGTCCACCTTCATCCGGCTCTTCTCGCACCGTGTCAAAAGGACTACGCCGCGCGGCCGGCCGGCCAACTCGAATGAGCGCAGCGAAGGGCACACGTCCCCGACGGCGGCACTGGCGCCTCCCGCCGCGCCGCTGCCGGCGTTGCTGGCAACGCCGATCCAGGCCCATCGATTTCTACTGTTTTGTTGCCTACGTGCCGCTGCCGCCGCTCAGCCAGCACAATGGCGTGCCGGTGTTGCGCTGTCGGATCGAAAAGCGGCTCGTGCAGCGGACGGACGGGTGCGGCCCGCGCGATGAGCCGCCGCCGCACACCGAGCTGCGCCGCGCGGACGTGAAGGTGGAGCTGGCAGCGGCCTGCTCAGTCCCCTCAACGGCGTCGACCGGCTCTCCGGCGATTTGCGGTCAGAAACGCCGCCGCTTCTGGGACCAAGGTGTCAGAGCGCGGCGCTGCCCGTGAGACGTTAAGTTAGCACAGGCAATGTCGTCTGCACTCCTTGCAGTTCATGTTGAATACACAACCATGTTGCGAAGTAATAGGCGCCGGGTTTTTCAGTTCATAGAACTTTTTCCCTGGCTATTACACCCCACAACCGAACACTGACACCTTGCACAAGTATGACTGTGTGTATGAATGTTAATAAATACATGAACCAATGTTGTGTTTTCGGTTCCAGTACCTTCTTTGGGCACCTCGGCAACAAGTAAGTAATCCGTTAGCTTTGCCACACCTAAGATAGGCTCCCACGTTGTTATTTGCTCCCGGGTTAACATAAACCGGTTTAACGTAACCTTTGCATCCCGGCCAAAATTGCCGGTTAACTGTCCCACCGCTCGAGACTGGCGCTAGGCTGGCCGAGCAAAAAAAAAGTTTGTCCGCGGCTTCGTCTTATTCGCAGCTGCTGGACACGGGGGAGGGGGGAGGAGGGGCTGCATCGGACGAAAAGCGGGCTCTGGTATTAACTGGATTTTTTGCCAGCTGGCGCCGTATGGTGGCGCTAGCAGAGCTTCTTACATATCAATGCTAGATATAAAAGAATGAATATTTACCAATCAATTTTTCATTTAAAGCCATTTGAAATATTTATGTCCATCCTACTACCGCGCTTAGGTATATCTAAAATTAAATACCTTTCGTGCGTCGCCAGCTGGCCAGCCAGCTGACGCAATCCAGCTTTTACCAAAGCCCCGAAAAGCGATGACGTGAGCCCTAATATTGGCTTCACCACACAATTTGAGCCCTCAAACTGGAATCAGGTGAGCTCGAAAATGGGGATCAGGCTGAAAACTGGTACCTATCATAGTGAGACTAGTTTTAGAGCTTGACACCGATAATGGGTACTGACTGAGCTCTGTTTCTGCGATCAATGATACCGATTTAAGGGATCGTATGAGCCCATGTGGCGCTAGCTCAGAAAGTATTCTCGAAATGTGCTGTCTGTTTTGAATATGGTACATTAGCCCGAAAACTGGTCTCTGAGCCCGAAAATCGGGACACTGTTTTCTCAGTGTACCGTAACCTAATTTCTTTTCCAATTCAGCGTCCTTGTTTCTCTCATCTGCCATCTCCCATTCAATTAGCCTTCATTATTCACTTTCAGCGTGTTTTATTCAGTACAAAGTTTCCAGTTACTCAAGAAGCTCTTCAGAGCTAGCGAAAAGTTAAGGAGCTGTTTCTTTAGAGAGTGGAAGTGGGAAATGACCAGTCACGAGAACAAAGACGTACCGTCCGTTGCGCTATTGCTTGGTGGCTGCTGAAATTCCTGCACGAAGATCAAGAAGGAGACGATCAAGGTGGGCAAGATCTTTTCCTTTACGATGTGTCTCGTTATCTACATTTTAGTCATTCTTACGCATTTTTGCCATTTTGCGTATATTGGATAACGTCTATTTCATCCTTGCGAAACATTGTATACCCAACGTAAATGTGGTAAACACAATGCCGGTGGACACGCGCAGGTAACGGGTGGCGGCAGTTTCTCCATTCCGGCCACTTTGGGCGGTGTTTGTTCTCCGGGATACCTGACATCGTCAGCTGCCGTCGGGCTCAGCTGCAGTTCCGTTCCTCCCTCCCTCTCTCCCTCTCTCCTCTGTCCGCCGACAAGCCGCCGTGTGCCGCAGAGTGGGCGTGTTTTGTTGTCGGCACCTCCCCGGAGAGCGGCACAATCGAGGTCGACGGAGCGGCGCCATCGAGACAGACAGAGCAGCTCCACTCGCTCCGATGGAGTATCTGTCCTACCAGTCTGACCAGCCGCCGGCGCCGTGTCTCAAACCTGAGTCGGTGCAGCTGTCTGACCCCGACACGGGACGGCTGCTGGTGGCACCCGAGTCGGAGCGGCCCGAGCCCAACTGTCCGCTGCAGATCACTGAGAACACTCCGACCGGCGACCGCTACCAAGGACAGGTCAGAGGGATAACAGGGACAGGTCAGAAGGGTTACAGGAAAAGGTCAGAGGGAGGTCAACCCTACCTGGGACAGGTCAGAGGGGTAACAAGGACATGTCAGAGGGGGATCAAGGACAGGTCAGAGAGGGAACAGGAAAAGGTCAGAGGGAGGTCAACCCTACCTAGGACAGGTCAGATGAGGGGTTCACCGCTACCAGAGACAGGTCAGAGGGTCACTGTTACCAGGGACAGGTCAGAGGGAGGTCACCACTACCAGGGAAAGGTCAGAGAGGCTACCGCGCCAATACTACAATGTCCGATAATGGGGGCAATTTTTTCGGGGTTAACGGGTGCCGATAACCACAGCGTTTCGTTGCATGTGTGACGGCTATCAACTGCAGCACTCATTTTGTTGGTACATTGAAAGCCGTTTTATTGACTGTAATACGAGGTGCCAGTGGGCGTGCTGGCTCGATACGGGTGGGTAGTTGAAAATTTATGGAGCCTAACTGACGATCCGGGACGACAATGTGACAAAAGTATGGCTAGTTTAGCCAGGGGCGCGGGAACTACTTTCCGACTGGGGGGGCACACCATAATAGAGATCAACCTAGGGTACCCCAAATCTAGTTTTCTCACCGGTTTTAGGCCACTTATTTTTCACCCCTCGGCTTTTTCAACAAAAAAAGAAAACATTTGCAAAAAAAGTGTGGTATTCCGTCTCAAAGCTGTGGGGGCACCGCCCCCACGGCCCCAGAGTTGGGGGGGCAAGCTGCCCCCCCTGCCCCCCCGGCTCCCGCGCCTATGAGTTTAGCATACAATTTTTTTTTGAACCCAAAGCATTTTCTTTCAAATATGTACTCTCTGCCGATGAATATTTAGTTTGTATACTGTTTTCCGCTCTATGTATGATCCTGTGGGAGAAACATTGTAATTGAATTCACCCTTATCTTCTCCAAGCAAACAACGTTGAACTCACTTCCAGGAAAGGTAAACACCCTCGAGGGTCTCAAGGCTTTCATAAGCAAATGACGTGAAGCGATAAACCAAATGATAACATTCTAGCTATCCTCCCGTAAATAAAGCGGCATGTCGTTTTAGCTGCGGTATATACTCGCGGTCATCACTACTTTATCGCAGCCGCAGGCGCCCGGTCGATTTCTCGGTAATAATCCGTCTGCCATGCGGCTGAGCTTCAGCTGTGACCTCCGCAGCAGTCTGCAGTCCATATGGGAGACAGAATCGACCGACCCATCCGGACGTGATGGAACACTAACAGCCCCACTTATCCGGCCTCGGAGACCGAAATGGCCCACTCCTGAGTGTAGAGAGATCAATGCCATCGACACTTTGCCTGAGAAACGCAGAAACTTCCTCATTTTCCGAGAGAGCGGTAGAGGCGACTCATTTCTGATGAAAAGTGCACCGCTAAGTAGCCATGGCTTCAACTATGAGGGTATTTTTAGGTTACTGTACCTTTCCAGTTATTACTGGAAAGGTACAGCAACCCCTTCCTCTGCTGTGTTCAAACCCAGCTCTTGCCGCGGCTCAACTCTCCCTTCTTCTCCGCGACAGGTGCTCGGCTGGCGATGGGAAGGTCTCGGCAGCCTGACGCTACCCTCGGGCGTCCGCTACGAGGGCCAGTTTCGGGACGGCCGGTTCCACGGTACGGGAACGCTGCACTTCCCCTCTGGCAGCCAATACGAGGGACAATGGGACCGCGGCGTCTGCACCACCGGTCTGTACACGTTCGCCGACGGTCTGAGCTTCTCCGACCAGAACTGGAAGTACTGCCAGTACCCGGACCGGCGCTACTGGTCCGAGATCCAGTTCGGCATCCGGCCGGCGGGACGCTCCCAGCTCACTGACCGCGACGACGACCACCCGGCCGTCGACGTGCCAGCGGGCATGTTTGACGCCGGTGACGGAGTGTACGACCCCAAGTGTCGCACCGTGTACGACTACGGCGATCGGCGCAAGATCAAGCGCGTCGTGACGGACGACGATCACCAGTGGATCATGTCCCGCTGCCGGCGCGGTGGAGATACGTTCATGGGTCGCCGTGAGGAGCTTCACCAGGATCTGGCACCTCTGGTGTTCCACGGAGGTCACTCCAAGGAGTCTCCGGAGCTGCCAGAGGAGCTCCGGCTGGAGGATTTGATCGGGGAGTCGGAGCGGCCGGAGCCTCCCGCCGAGCTCGCCCCGCCGCCGTTCGATGTCAGAGAGCGGAGCGCGGACGTGGTGCGAGAGGTGCTCCGCTCCGCTCAGCGGGTGGCCACCTCAGTCCGGTCGATCGTGTCCAGCGCGGCCGGGCGCGTGACGACCGCCGAGGAGGAGGCCCGCCAGCTGGTGCGGGACGCGGAGAAGCGAGCCGACTCGACGAGCTCCACCATTAGCTCTCTGATGGACGAGGCGCGTCGCCGGCTGGGCAGCCAGTCCAGCTCTGCCGGCAGCGGCTCCAGCACAGGCACCGGCTCCGACTGGAGCACCACCGCCAGCAGTGACGAGCTCACGGCGCCGCCGGACGGGCCGCGGCGCCGGCGAGTGGCGCACGCCGCCCTCACCGACAGCAGCAGCGGCGAGTCGGTGACGGCGGGCCGCTCAGCCGGCCGCCGAACGGCCAGCGGCCCGGACCGACGGACCAGCGGCGGGTCGGACCGACGGACCAGCGGCGGGTCGGACCGACGGACCAGCGGCGGGTCGGACCGGCGGCCCAGCGGCGGGTCGGACCGGCGGACCAGCGGCCCGGACCGACGGACCAGCAGCGGACTGTCCGTCGGACGGGCCGGCAGCGGGGCGTCCGCCGGTCCGAGCAGCAGCACGGGCGACGGCAGCGGCGGTCACCACAGTGCCTAGTGCTGCATGACCTCCACAATACAGCGAGCGAAGGGTCGAAGGCGCCAGCTTGCAGCTGAAGTCTTTGGTACCGAGCGTATGCACTATGCATTGCATGACAGGAGGTATAATGGTGTAAATCGACGCTGTTGTGAATATCATTGTCAAATGTAGACAGGTGGATAGGCTAGTGCATTGCCAATTCTATTTTATTGCCGACCGAACACGTACTGGCAGTCAGGAAGTGAATTTCAGTTCCTGGAGACTACCCAGTCGCCAGGGGATACAGCCGACCTGCAGGACGTGTATAAATCCTCAACCGTCCAGAGATTCGTAGAAACGTGAATCTAATTCCAGCGGGACTGAACCTGCCTGAACCGGGAGGCGCAGTGCTCAGCTGTCAGATACCTAAGTCGGACAGGTCAATATTGGAGCGGCGCCATGCATCAGGGTTTGAAATTAAACTCAAAGATAAATCAGTATCAGCAAGAGCCCATGTCGGACGTAAGACAGGTGGATGTGTCAGGCTACAGCAGCATGAAATTCGGCCGTAACACATGGTCAATTTCATCACAGGCCATCATTCGTTTCGAGGTGGAGACGCCAGCTATGAGGCAAACACAGTGGAAATTGCATTGGTTCTGGGTAAGGTATTCCCGGCAATAAACTACGGCCCGTGACAGGGGTTGATAGATGGCTGGCGCAGCGGTGAGCAGCTGCGACCACCGGCTGTGGGCAGCGCGTGCAGCTGGCCCGGTTCAACCGGTGGCACAGGACCGACCTCGCTGACATTTATAACGATATACGGCGGATGCATGTCTCAGGCAGATCAGCGCTATACAATAAACGCAAACGCGGTGTCAGCAACGGCTCGAGCCGTTGACGAATAGCGCTTTGAACGCTTCAATGTTAGTGGATTGAACCTGCACTGACGCTATTTGCTGATGTCAGAAGACGCTGTTACCGAGTAAATATGGCTCCACTAGCTGTACGGTATCATTTATTCACCAATGCATTAGAAGCGCCGGAGAGGTAACGTTAGTAATAAATCAACATTGCTCCCAATTGTTTCGAGCCTATCCATTAGTCTTGCTGCTCAAGCGGATGTAAACAGGTTTATGGAAGTTGGCTATACAGGCCATCGACTGCTATCGGCGCCAGTCGTATTAGGTGAGCGAGGCGCTCGATGGGTGCTCAACTGTAACGGTCTATTTTACAGGCTCTACCTGTACGAAGAGTCAGTGGATCCGCTGACCATCTGATACTTCCTGCCAGGCTAGGCCCGTAAACACAAACTGATATGAAAGTTCCAGGTTTTTTGCCCATTAAATACCCCACCAAACCTGTCCAAAAAAGCCCCGCTGTTATGAGGCGGACCGCTTTTCAAATCTTACCTGCCACCCCACGGCAAACCCTACCTCCTAATCCCACAGCCGGCGGAAGCTCTGTTCCCAATCCTCTCAAACCCTCAGTCCCCGGTTCCCGACACGGCCGGCGCCTGTGTGTCGCTCGGCGTGACTCAGCCCAGCCGTGCGGTCTCGGCTAATTACTGTTGACACGGCAGTGGTCCCGGTCCCCGGAGCGTCCCTGTCACTCACCGTTAGCGCTGTTCTGCACGTGTTTGGCCCAGCTGTAGCGGGCCGAGCGGGTGGAGCCGGACGGCGAGCCCGGGTTCTCGGCCGAGGCGGCGCGCCGCCGCGACCCCGCTCCATTGGCCAGCGGCGGCCGCTTCGGGTCGGGCATCACGTAACGAGGCATTCCTTTGAAGAACCAGGCGCCGGACTTTTTCCACACCTCCCTGGTCTCTGCGCAGATTTTACAGAGCAGCCACTGCTCGCCGGCGGTGGAGGATGTGTCCACCACACACTTGTGGCACACCGCCTGTCCGATACAGAGACACAGGTCAGTCCAGGGCAGGTCGGATACAGGTCAGCACCGCTGGCCAGGCCCGTGGGTCACCACAGCGAGGTGTTTGGTGATCAGTCACCATATTAGTGCGATAGATCATATTTGGTCAAGGCAGGTGACATGGAAAATGGTAGGGGCAGATCGTGACGAATAAGGAAAAGACAACACCGCGAATGCAACCGAAAGGAGCAACGGCATTTGGAGAGCATGGCGTTGAGCGTGAAAGAGAATATTGCGGTTTAACGGCGTAGACGAGGACACAGCAGATGGATCTGTGACATTCCGAATTATAGGATAGCAATTTGAAATTAGGCAACAATACAGCGTTCAACCGTAACTTACAAAACTTATGAAGTTACAGCAACACGGAGAGAAGGAGTGGCATGTAGGGTGGCAAATCTAGTTCTGTGTTGGCCTATCCTGGCGATAAACTCATGACCACCTGCTATCTTGACCTATTTCCCTCCAAACAGTCCTAATGGACTCACCAGTTTGGATGGGATTAACGCCACACACGAAAGCCGCCGATCGCCGATCACGCAACCGGCCAATGATGATGGTAATGTGTTGGTCATGAGTATATACAAACAGCCACTGCCCCTATTATCGGCAGAGTCCCCCCCGGTGACTGTCAACTCTCCCACTGATGGCTGTCATCCCCTCCCCCACTGTCCCCCTACCAAGGTGACAGGTCAGCTCATCCATCTACCGAGCTCGCTGTCATGCGAAACTCATCGGCTCTACAATAGACGACCTTCGCAGATCCAATAACCTTTCCAAGGAATGAGGTGGAATTCGAACTGAGCCACCCGGTGACCGGTCTGGCTCCTGGGTTCGTCCAGCCGCCCCCGCGCCGCGCTGGACCGTATCTACCTTATGGCAGTCCTTGCACTTGAGCTTGGAGCTGGCGAGGAGGCCGAACTTTTCGCCGCAGAGGACGCAGGTGCTGGCGCCATTACCGACGGCGTGTCGCCGCATGTTGTCCAGCCGCTCCACCAGTTTTCTGCGGCACAATCAGCGGTGTAGCACGTCAGACGGCCAATGTCAACGGACCTCATCACAGCGGAATTATCATATAGCATCACAACTGTATCGGTGGCTCGTACCAAAACAGGGTGGCCGCTGGCCGGAGAGAAAAAAAAAAAACACTGAAAATATGGGCACCGTCTTCAAAACATTCCTCTAGCACTTACGTTATACTCTTTGCACCATACCTCAGTATTTTTGCGAGGGAGATATTGCACATTTGGCTAAACGCTAAAGAAATTAACAATAAACATTTCCCAAACAGGCATTTTTCCGAAAGGTCCCTTCGCAGTGTTCAGTAATGTTTATTTTATCTGCAGGTGCGTACCCATTCCAGATGGTCCGGAAAGAAGCAATGCACCGGCACGGTACTTGCGACAGGAAGGAAGCCAATTTGAGAAGGGCGCTACGTCTTCAATAAATATTTACCATAATGAGACAATAGACGTTTTCACGACGGGCTATCTAGCGAATGCATTTAATTCGACCAAAGCTGCACTAAATCTCTTTTACTGTAAATATCTTCATATCGTGGATTTATTCCAGTATTTTGATCGAAAATAACGTCTGTTATTGAAAAATGAGGTATATAAGCATCTGTGCAACCCAAACTGAAAACTTTTAGGAAACACACTGAACCTAATTTGACCAAATCTGCACTAAATCTGCACCTAATCTGGACCAAATGTGTTCCAGAATTAGCCGTTTTCACGACGGGCTACCTGGCGAATGAACCTAATTTAACCAAATATGCACCAAACCTCTTTCATAATGACCTTCATATCATAAGTTTATTTCAGCGTTTTAGTCGAAAATAATGTCTGATAATGTGAAAAAAAACGTGAGGTATATAAGCATTTGTGCAGCCCAAACTGATAACTTTTAAGCAACACACTCAACTTAATTTGACCAAAACTGCACCAAATCTGCACTAAATGTGCACCAAATGTGTACCAGATGGCCGTCGTGAAAACGGCTATTGCCTTCAGAAGCATCTGCAATGGGACCCGAACATACAAATAAACGAGCGGATGAAATCGATCCTGGTAGTATTCTTCCTTTTAGCTTCTTGACCTACCACTAGGCATTCGAGTCGTGGAAATCGTGCCAGGAAAGCTTGATATCGTTGCACTGAATAAAGAAAAGCTCTGTTGTAGGCGTTTGCAAGTAAGCAGGCTTTGTTGCAGTTTTAGAGGAAGTCACCACAAAGAGCTTAGACTTGCAAGGATATGCAAGGTGCAAACAAGTTTTAATAATTGAGAGGAACTGGGTCTGCTGAGGAAGCCGCCCGAGGCGTAGTTCCGTGACTGTTCCGGTGTGGTGTGCAGGAGGAAGGCAGGGCCGGCCTTTAGCTCATATGTATGCTAGTGGTACGCTGCGTTTCGTGCTGCAGAATTAAAAAGACCAGACATTATTTTACAGTGTATGCTTGAGTAAATCTCTTCCTCACGGTAACCGCATTTGGTCTGAAACCCCATCTCGTCTGAAGTCGGTCTCATAGTTACAATCACTTAGATACAGCTTCCACTCAGCAAAGCTGGTAACAAAAGAGAGCAATGAGTTCGTCCTTTCGTTGTTGCAGCGCTTGATGCAAATCCTTTCCGTATATCGTACCGCCCCTGACCCAGATATCAGTTGCACAGCTGAATCGATCGCGCTGAGGCTTGACATAGGTGCTAGAGTACCGTCAAGGGTAATTATATAAGTAGTCGATGCAGGCAAAAGTATAGGTGTCAGTTCTTCATTTGCATGTTGGAGTGAAGAAAAACCCAGCATTAATCGTCATCGATGCACGAAGTTATTTGTCTGACTTTAGAAACAAACACTTTACTTTCTGCAACTGAATGTTGAGAAGCTCATGTTGAGAAGGTTCCATCTGCGTTGAATCGTTTCCATTATTCGTAAGCATGCATGGCACTATCCTTTCATCGAATTACCCTCAATTGCATGCATAGAAACATGAAATCGTCAGTGGAAGAGTAGTCCAACGTCGGTCCAAACCAAGGTCCTCCAAGTCAAAGCTCCTCTCCCTGTCCTTGACCTGGCATTATTGTATTTCATCTCGTCCCTTCCCCACCAAACATAAGGCATGATCCGATCCATCTCGGCAAGGGCAGTGCTTTCCAGCCCGCGCCCCTGTGGTACGTAATAGAGTCCCGCCGCCCCAGCGCGCTTGACCCCACTGATGGGGTGCTCAGAGTGGAACGGGCTGAGCCGGGGGTCAGACGAGGTGGCCGGGAAGGTCCCGCTCAGATGAGCCGGCGCTGTTTGGTCGGCAAACAGCCGCCGCTGACGACACTGCCGGAGCGGCCGGAGCGCGTGCTCAGAGAGATAACGGCTCCGGCGGACGGACCGGTACGGACCGTGGGCTGCCGTCCGCCGGGCGTGAAGGCGTCTGTGGGGTGATGGAGGTTAGTTGGTGTTGTGTTGGTGGTTTTTACAGTGGTGACTGATGGCAGTAGTGGACAGTGGTGATGGTGGAAAATTTGTGCAGACGATTCACAATGCTGCAACGGCCATGGAGCGGTTGTGAAGTGATAACAGCGCTGCCATTGATCAAAAGCAATATAAACCAGCGACAGATCAAGCCACGACAACGACCGTCCGACGCGGCAGCTTCTGGTGCTGCGCAGTGCTCGGAAGGCGTCAGGGCTCAGGGTCACCAGGTCGTGGTGCCACAGTCCATTATTAGTGCCGCGTCCCACAGGATCCATAGTCGACCAAGTGCTACGAGCTTTCAGCGGACGCCATGCGGTATTCAGATGAGTGGCTGTATCTATAGCCTAGGCGTGGCAGTTCACATACCGCCCTCCATTTGCATAGCTGAATACTGATGTGCAGTGAACTTCCCGCAACCAAATCCCTACAATTACCTACTGGATACACTCGCCTGCATGGTGAAATATTTCGGGCCAGCTCTGGGATGGCGACTCACCCAACCCTCATCTGTTCCTTTTTCTCGAACGACTCTGCCTTTTGAATGACGTTGACGATGACGTGCTGCTCGCGCTCGTTGAGCGGTGCCGGCTTCCGGTATTGCTGTAGGCTGCTGGTCTTGACCGACCAGCCCGACTTCAGTCTGAGAGAACAAACAGACAAACGTCAGAATGTGGAACACTGGTCCCAAAAGGAATACAGCGCGCATGGGGAGGGCCACTGGTCAGTACCTATCGCAGTAATACATTACGGTAATTAGCGAGAGTAAGGGACTGTGGTACGTGCAGCTCATCCATTACGAATGAGAAGGTCTGGATTGATACACATTTTATGTGAGCTTCTTTATAGACTACATCCTGACCAATTTTATTTCATGAGCTATACCAGCTAGACAATCATACGATTATCATCAAGCACTGAGTTTCATCAACTATCCGCTTACAGCTGACCATCGTCTGACCATCTGATGGCATGTCCATTGTCCACTGTCCATTGTCCATTGTCCAGTGTCCAGCTTTCAGCCATGCAGCGCTCGGACCGTATCTTTCCTTTAGTCTTTTAGTGACTGTCTGAGTTCTGGGAGCCCCCCATCGGTCACTGTCCCGGTCTCGGCTTAACCCACGGTCAGAGGCAGTTATAGGCTTACCACGGCCAGCCGGCAGCAAACGGCGGCATTAGACGCCGCGATCGCTCACTCGGTGGGACATTAACGTCACCAACAAATGCCGACCCGAGATAGCTAATTGTCCGTGTAATGTAACTGAATAGCAGTTATTGTATGTGTTCAGAGGCTGACGTCAAACGCCGAGAACAATTCCTATTTTCTTGATTATTTTGGTCACTTATTTAGAAATTTACGAGTGCACAATTCAGCATACCCAATGTTCACAATGCACACAATTCAGCAAGTGTTCGCCAGCGGCGAGAGCATGAGACAGACGGACTCACGTTTGAGCTGTGGGACAGGAAGGCTCACATGCACGCTATTTTTCGATTATTGCTTCAATAACGCAACACGACACGCAGCATCGTGTGTTCTCAGAAGTTGTTAAAACTTTTCAGCACACTTAGAGGAACAACTACTTAACTATGCAGAAGTTATCTAGGTAAATATTCATGTCAGCTACTAGGTAAGGTAAAATGCATGCCTGAACCGCCAGTCAATTAATTTCATTTCCCCACCACCTTTATTAGACTGTCTTACCAGAAAGGCTGCGAATCGTGTACTCCAAGGCCGTATAAGTTAGGTAAGATCGTCCGGGCTCGCTAATGTTACAAATCTGCAACACTACGGTGACGTCACCGGCGCATACGCTCCCTGGCTCCATCCTGACCCTGATGCGGCGGCTGGAATCGCTGCTAATCGAAAAATTACTTGTGCAATAGCGCTTTTAAATGACTTTAAAAAGGGGGAAAATATGATAACAAAATAATTATGAGAATCCCCTGTCCCGACTTGGATCGTACGACCCCGCCACCTAGCGGACAACGCCGTAATTAGGGTTGAGTTGGCGATCTCCAGGTGGCTCGTCACTCGTCAGCTGTCAGCCGCAGGCAGGCGAGGGCCGGCAGGCGCTTAAGTTATGTTAACGCCAGGTCATGCTCAGGAAAATGCGACATGCTTCATAACGGTCATTTATCTCGAAAAAGATGCGGTGCCCTGTGGTGCTATGGCCCACATGACTCGGGACCCGTGAGGCCCCTGTAGTCACCAGCAGCTCCCAAGGCTGCTACGGACGCGATACCGCAGATACGTACTCCGAAAATTGCTAGACAAAGGACTGCGATGGAGCCTGGAGGAATGCATTGCAAGGACTATGTTTTGGTTTATGTTCCTGTGCGTAATCGCGGGGCTATCGGTGTTAGGGTCCCGGGGGCCAAAGCCATGCGGGCAACTGGGGTGTATCTGGATGGTGAATGGTGATGATATCGTGTTTTTGTTCGGCCACATGGGCACAATAACGAAAGCATTGATTCACTCCGTCCGAAAGCCTAGGTACCGAACCAATTAAGAACCACCAACAGATGTATTCCATGACAGGAAACAAAACGACCCCAACACTGCTCGCGCATGTCTATCCAATATCCATCCAGTGAGGGAGCACATGTGGTCCGTGTCCCCGCACACACGGGCACACAGACGATGGGTAACGCAACCACGAGTCGGCACAACGCAATCACGAATGGTTAACGCAACCACGAGTCGGCACAACGCAATCACGAATGGTTAACGCAACCACGAGTCGGCACAACGCAATCACGAATGGTTAACGCAACCACGAATGGTTAACGCAACCACGGGTCGGCACAACGCAATCACGAATGGTTAACGCAACCACGAATGGTTAACGCAACCACGAGTCAGCACAACGCAATCACGAATGGTTAACGCAACCATGAATGGTTCACGCAACCACGAGTCGGCACAACGCAATCACGAATGGTTAACGCAACCACGAGTCGGCACAAGGAGCAAGAGGCCAAGCCGGCAGCTCGCGTGATCACGCCCTGGGTCCGCGCCTCAGCCGGGGTAGGCTCACCGTGCCATCGCCGAACTGGATGACCATCGTGGAAGAGTTCGAGGTCATCTTCCGGTTGATGATGGGTGCTACCGTCGACGGTCAGTCCGGTATCGTGCAGAGGCTGCTGGCGGCACTCCAGGTAAAGCGTCCATCTCTGGACGCCAGGATCGCGAGGAAGCTGGTGACGACGCGGGTCCACCTTCGGATCCGCTCACTAAACCAGCGCCAGGACGAAGTCGTAAGCACAAGTGATCCGCTCCTCGCGTAGGCCGGCCTGGCTCCCAGTGATGGTGCGCCGGGAGCTGCTCGCTGCCCGGCTGAACTGTCTGACAGCCTCAGAAGACAGAAAGTGACGGCGCTCTCCACACTGGCGAGTGATGCCGGGGTAAAGATGTCGGCACTGGACGCCGCCGGCAGACGCAGTGCGTTCTCCACCTGATTCAGCTGCTTCCTGCCGATTTACCTGAAACAAAGTCAAGTGAAATCAATGATCCTTCTTACCTAAGTGGTGGCCTGAGCTCTGCAATACGTGGACGTATCAATGGCCACAAAATCTATCTAATTAAGGTGCTGTTTAAATAAAGATAGAATTAATAGTGAATAGTGATTGTTGAAATGGCGACGGTCGGTGAGCTTAAACTAATGTTAAGTGGGAAACCCCAAAATTTAGTGTGTACAGTCTGTCTTAAAAGTACCGCGCAAAGTGGCGGTGGATCCATCAAGCCTTACCGAAGAAAGGCCTGCTTTAATTTAAAAGTCACCGAACCAATTGACCTGAGGAATGGACGAGAATATCAATTGCTTCGATGACTCAAATTAAGCAGGCCCTCCCTCGGTCAGGCTTGATGGATCCACCGTCACTTTGCGCGGTACTTTTAAGACAGACTGTACAATATCTTAGCGCGAGCACCACTTATCGTAACAACACTGCTCGCTGGGAGCACTACTAAACGATTGGTCTAGCGGAAAGGAGGGTCGGTAGACACTTCAACTATTCTGACTCTCCGGAATTTTACTGATTACCAAAGTCAAGATATAGCATGCAATCCGTCCTGTTTAACGCCAACTCCGATTTCGACTATTTGTCCAATTGAACTGGGCGCAATAAATAGACACATTCAAGTGCAAAACAAAAATAGGAGAGATAATGCAGACATTACACTCATAGAGCTGGTTACAATGGCTTGATTACCATGACGATTGAAGACGATTGAATGATAGCGATAAAAATGTCGAGCAAGTCGAAAAGAAATAAATGCAGCTCACCACTCCGGACGTGCTGGCGGACTTGCTTGGCGGCGCGTCTCTCGGCTGCGACTTCGTCCTGGCGCTGGTTTAGTGAGCGGATCCGAAGGTGGACCCGCGTCGTCACCAGCTTCCTCGCGATCCTGGCGTCCAGAGATGGACGCTTTACCTGGAGTGCCGCCAGCAGCCTCTGCACGATACCGGACTGACCGTCGACGGTATCACCCATCATCAACCGGAAGATGACCTCGAACTCTTCCACGATGGTCATCCAGTTCGGCGATGGCACGGTGAGCCTACCCCGGCTGAGGGCGCGGACCCAGCTGGATGGGACTGAGCTGGGCGGAGCTTGGTCTGTAGTCTGTCCCAGCCCAGCATCCAGGTGGCGGCACTTGGCCGCGACGAAGCCAGCGACAAACGCAAGGGCCTCCCGTTCCAGGCGCTCGTCTCCAGCTGTCGCAGATTCCGACTGGAGAGGCGTGACCTCTTCGTGAGATGAAGATGGAGGAGCGGCTACTGCCTGGTAGGCTCCTTCTGCTTCGTTGTCCTCACGTGCCGCCAGTTCTTGGTCCGGCTCTTCAAACTGGAAAAGTTGAGAACTGTCAAAGCTGGAAATGGATGCAATGATAGTACGAATGCCAAATCAGCTGTATTTGGCAGTTGGCACTGCATGCCTAGACATTGCCGTTTTTTGTATGCCTGCACGATTATGCATAAAATGAGAATCTCTACTATAAACTTAAAATATTACTTTAAAGCAGTGCTTAATAATAAGATAGAATCATATGATCCTCTATTTGCAAAATTTCATACGTTCCAAGGGCGTGGAGGATAGTAGACATGTAGCAATTCAGGCAGTGCCCCCAGCTGGTAGGTCTAAGTACCTGAATGAGCAGGCCCTCCAGGGCCTCGTTGGAGACGCACGGGAGCTGCTGCGGTGCGCGGCTCGTCGACATTAAGTCGCTGGGTTCCAGCTGCAGTACTGCTCGACCGCTGGAAGCAGCCACCTGTGGAGCCGGCGCCATTAGCAGCACTTTCAGGCGGGAGCGCACTTCTACCGCGTTGGGCGTGGTATTCGCTCCACCCAGGCTCCGGATCTGCGAAAAGCAGTTCTCTAAGCAATCTTGGTTCAGGTGGCTGGTCAGGACAAACTGCAGCTCGGGCACAGTACGATGGAGCTCTTCGTACAGCCCACGGAGAGATACTGTGGTTCGTAGCATTCCCTGCTGGAACGGCAGCATGCTCCGATGACCGTTGGGGTGCTTTGCAGACGTTTTACGAGTGTCGGAGATCAGAGACGTCATCTTGTCCAGGGCCCGGTCCTGGACCGCTTTGATTTCAGCAGTCCTCCCATAGGCGGACCGCTCGATTGTGG